CGGCTTTATTTCCTTCAAGCAGAAGACCTCCTGTTCAAGACTAAGCTAGCTTTGTTGTTATCTCTGAATACTACGAAATGCTCCCAAGCCAACACTGCAGGTTTGGGGACAATGCTGAGCATAAAGCTACAGGAATTTCCTCAAAGACCAAGAATGTCTTCTGAAGTGCATGTGGCTGGTTGAAATACAATAGTCCACGTTAAGTGGTGTCTCTTGTATTGAAATGTGCTGTTGTGCTCATTCCTGCTTAGAAGCATGTTCTGTTTAAGTGAGTGACACTTGCTTCCAAGTAAACATTGAGATCAAGGTGTGACAGACTATTTTCGCTTTTTTAAATTTTCGCTTTGTCAAGGAGACATTAAACATTTTTCTATCTTGGACAGACTGTGCCTGCATCTCCTCGTATACATTTGTCATACAGAACGTCTTCCTCCATTAATCAACTTTCTGTACTTGACTGTGAAGCCCACAAACCAAGAAAGACACATGGCAATTCTTCCAAGTAGATTTTTTTATTGTTCCATACCTGTAGACAGAATCTTGCCAGACTAAAGCTTTCTACTATATACTCCAGCATATTCTCTGAGAACTATTAGGGAGGCGGTTTCTTCCACCTTCTTTCTCTTACACAAACTATCTGAATTGAGCTGCCTCTTATTCCTCTGGAATACATCCCTCTTTTGTGGCAATCCAGTCCACAATGTTCCATCACACTGGTTGCCTCCAGATGGGATGGACACGTCATATCTAGAGAGCAAATGGTTGGTGCAGACTCCATTTAAAAATCACGAGTGTTTTTGCTCAAAGAAGAGGAAGTGATTCCAGAGAAAGTAGAGAAGCCATATCAGGTTAAGTGGTTTTCTCTTTAACTTTTACGGCTGAGCTGCCAGTGTGGCAAGCAAGATACGAAATGATTAATCATCTTAATCCCAACTTTCCTTTCATCCCTTTACCCATCAGAGCCTCTAGGCCAGTGATGGCAAACCTTTTAGAGACCGAGTGCCCAAACTGCAACCCAAAACCCATTTATGCATCGTTGGGTGCCAGGTGTGTGTGGCCCATTGGGTGTGTGTGGCCCATTGGGTGGGTATGGCTGCAGTGGTAACGGCAGACTGGGTGGGACTAAAAAGTTCAATCAATTCCAACTTTGCAAGATCTTTTTTTTTCCCGCGAGAAGTTGAAATTGACTGATTGATTGAACCTTTTTTTTTTTGTACATGGTGGCGGAGGCCTAAAGCGAAAAGGTTTTATAAAACCCAGCTGAAGGCCTAGGACTGGGGTGACGGCACACATGTCCACAGAGAGGGCTCTGAGTGCAGCCTCTGGCACCCGTGCCATAGGTTCGCCACCACTGCTGTAGGCCTTGGGGGTAGACACTGCTTTTCCTGACTTGGTAGTGAAACCCAGAATCGCCTTATCTGGAAGATGGGTAGCATATAAATGTAGCATTTTTTAAAAGTCCTTGCTAATGAGTGATAGCAGATACCTGTGGTCTTCTGTGCAGGTCTTTAAGGAAGATCTGTAATGCTTTTAGCAACTTTGTCTGCTCATTATTTTGTAATGGTTTGGTTGGATAAACATGAATCATTTTCAGTGATGGAAGAAATTTGCAAATGATATTACATGATGTTTAGACCAGTTGTTATCCCCGTTTAATGTCTATTTAAGATTTTCAAAAGTGTTTTGGTTTTATTTGTTTGGCATCTTTTGTCATCTCTACCGAAGAAAAATTAGACAAAGAAGAATGGAGTACTACCAAGGCAAGATACCCATTTATAATGGTTGGTTGTTTTTTTTTTTGCCTTCAAATCAGTCTTGATTCTTGACAGCTACATGAACAAATGCCAGGGGTTTTCCAGGCAATATTTTCAGAAGCACTTTGACCTTGTCTCCTGCTTCCTAGGGCTGCGAGGGTGTGACTGGCTCAAGGTCAACCAACTGGCTTCCATGTGTAAGGCAGGATTAGAGCTCAACATTCTCTGCTCTTAGTCCAGTGCCTTAACCACTAAACCAAATTGGATTGTATCTGCATTGATTGCAAAAGTATTTCCATACATTAGAAACCCACATTTTTATTTTACTCTGGATACAAAACATCTCTTCACAAAGAATGCTGATGTATACTTGTACACTTCAGCTGTTTTTATCTGTTTTGAATATTGAATAATATTCTGCCCATAGTCAGAATGAATCCGGCAGTTGGACAGCCTTAGAAATCTATTAAATGAAATTTATATTTATTTCCTTCGGTAATGCTGATCTGTGCGCCAGTTTTTGTTTTGACTTTGTCTATGCAATTGCAATAGATAAACTGCATTATATTTTGACCACCACGGCCTCCCTTGTAGGCTGCACATACTCTATAGTTTACAAGCTAAAGATAATACTACGTGGAACTCTGGGGATGAAATGCTGACCAAACAATGTTGGCTAAAGTGGAGCTTACAGAAGAGAACAAAAATAAAAGCTGAAAAACCTGCTAAATTTAAAAGGTCTGAAGTCTTCAGTGGGTAGTGGAATTTCAGAGAGACATATCCTAGCTAGCTGAAATGTTTGGAAATAAATTTTCATACATTTTATTCAAAAGGTTATGCACTATTAAAAAGATTAGCTAACACAGCTTGACACAGAATGATGAGTAACTGTGTTTATGTGTGCTTTAAATTAGTCCTAATTTTTTTGCCATCACAACTTAAAACAACAAATACCAAAATGAACACATATGAACAATTAAAACACTACAATGAGATTTTGGGAAAGATGCATTTATCTATATACTACAAAAATTGCGTCTGTTTGTAACTTTTAGTTGGACAAAAGGGTGTAACATAGAGCAACAGTTTTTGAATCAACATATTTCAAATGGGTTAACACATCCAAAATCCAGGACCCTTGACTGCTGTGGGATTTAAATTTGGCAGACTTGTGACCACTTCAGTGCTTCTGCACTGTCTCACCACCATGCAAACATGGTCAGTTACGTGACTGTCATTTTCAATGTCTCCCAGCTTCCTACAAGCAAAGTCAACAGGACGCCAACAGGAAGTCAGGAGTTACTCCCATTTTCATTGCTTTTTTGCCTGCCTGTGGTCATTCTGTTTCTCTGTTTAAAAAGGAAATATCTCTGAAATGACCAAACAGGCCACAGGTTGTCTAGTTATAACTAAAAGGTTCTTCACACTTCCTCTACACACCTCACAATTTGGAAAACTGCTCTCAAGCTCCAGGGAAATCAGAAGATCCAGACAGTTCAAATGGGTATAAAGACTTATTGCGAGCTTAAGCTTTCTACAAGAATCTGAACTACTAACAGCCAAAACAAATTGGCAGTAGATGAGAGTCAAAGGAATTCAAGGTGGGCAGGACTTAGAACTCTTGTGAGTGCTAAGGGACTCATGACTGATGATGCTTTTGACCCCTCCCTTGGGCTCAACCTGGTCATCTACAATTGTGCTTTAACTCATCTATGGAGACTCTATTCTGTTTCATTAGAATTCTGTCACAGCAGACAAACTTCTTCAAAAGAAGACTGCTTCGGTGCTGTCTGATCAGTGATTCTTTACAAGCTTTAGTAATTGATTGAGCAATATTTCTCAGAAGTAGTTTGCCATTACTTTGTTCTTCTAGGGCTGAGACTGTGTCTGGCCCCAGGTCATCCAGCTGCCTTTGTGCCTCAGGTGGAACCACAACTCCCGATTTCTTGGTGGCTAGCTTGGTGTTTTCATCACTATAACTCTTATACCTTCTGCTTTGAAACAATACAGTCGGGCAATGACATTTGAATAATGTGGACTGTGTATTCTGGAAAGTGAGTCCCAGGCATTCGCATTTTGTTTCTGAAGCATAAGCCTGAAAAACTGCCTTGTAGTCCTGTCCAAAAAAAATACCATAATTCATATTGCTGAAAGCTGTACAGTTTTGTAAAATTGACACAGGTACAGTCTTCTACATCTGAATGAGGAAGGGTGTGGACTCCATATTGGGCCCAATAATGGATTGAAAAAAAAGCTTGGAGTTTGTCTTCCGCTATCTGCTTGACTACCTTGCCTGCGAACTAATCAATTTTATTTGCCTCCCATCTCACTGTCCAAAATTATGTGTCTGAAACTGGTCTATTCAGAATAGATTTCAAAGAGGACTCTGGTTTAACAGTGAGCAGTTCAGTTCAGATAGTCCTTCACCTTTATTTACACATCTATTAGTCAGATCAGCCCACGGTCTCCTAGCAACTGTAATCAGGAAGGTCAAATCTCAAGAGGCATTCAAACCTTCTAAACTTTCCCCCCACTACTTCAGATTAAACATCTACGATGAAACAACTATGAACATAAACAAGCAACATCCTGCTCTAGAATTCGCTTTGGGATCTAAAACTAGGTTCATTCATAATAAGTCATGGTTTGTTTAACAGCGCACTGAGCTAAAATCAAACAAATCGTGGTACAGCACATATATAGATGTATTTTGTTGTGGGCAGGGATATCCCCATTCCCACATGACCTCCCAGCTCATGTTATGGCACAGACCAGAGAATGCCTTACCAAATAGCTCACCTCGGAGAATAATAAGCTAGTTTTTAAAGCTAGTTCAGATGGAATTATGATTGAATGTTCCGCTGTGACTTCTTAATTCAAATTGCTTGAGCAAAGCAATGGTAAAATTCATTAATTTTCCTATTTGGCTGATTCTCTGATTGACGTGCCTATTTGGATACGGTCACTGGTGGATTCCAGAGCTCAGGGTCTTTGTCCTAGAATGCATTATGGATGAAAATTAAACCAATGTTCAGTGATAGTGAGAAAGATCTTAATGTTCTGTTCAAATAAGCAAACCCACCAGAAATGGGCTTCTTTTTTTTAACCATGGGATTCTCAGTATGTTTTTATTGAGAATCCATGGTATGTAGAGAGAGGATGGAATTGTTTTTGCATTTTTGTCTAGGTGTGTCAGTGCTTGGGTGGTTTCATAAAACAAGTAGAAAGGGAGAAGATAGAATTACACTGCATACAGTACAGACGGATCCTACGAAACCCATCTCCAAAGGCTGGATGACTGTCCATTGATGTCAATGGACAGGAAGACAGGAGAGCAGGGGAGGTTGCCTGGGGTGATTGTGACCTCCTCCTGCACTATGATGCTCAAGGACATTTCCTGGAGGCACCATGCATGGACTGAGCTCCTTGTTGCCAAGCTGCTTAGAAGCAAGACAGCAGTGGGAGCATCAACATCCATAGCTGCTGTGCTGATCTCGAAGGGACGTGAGCACCACTGAATGCGCCATGGTAAGCATGAAAGTGCCCAAGTGCCCAGGAACTGGGTCAGGAAAAGACAAGCTTTTTTCCATTTGCTTTTTACCCTTGTCTGTGCCTAAAGAGATGGAATAGATAGGCTGTTAGAGTATCTGTCCAGGTGAAGAATGGAATACAGAGAGGTTCCTGGAGAACTAGAATGCTCATTAGATAAACACTTCCACAACTGGATTGCATTGCCCTTGTTCCCAGCTTCAGAGACACTGATCCAGCGTGTTAGGTAGGAATGATGGGAGACCAAGATATCTGGGAAGATGCTATGTTGGACATGATGGGGCTAAAGAATTCACTTACTTTGGTTGACATTTAGCCTCTGCTTGACACGGAGGTATACAAAAGAAAAGAAGGTGGCCAGACAGCAGGTTTACATAACCAAAATAAGGATTTCAGTTCAACACAAGGAACAATTTCTGAACATTTTTAATCAGGGCTCAGATTTAGCTATGTCCAAACAGCAGATGTTCTACATTGACAACATAATTCTTGTTATTGTGTGGTGGCACAAGACTCGTGACTTGGGTGTTGATTTTACTGGAAGCCTATCAGTGCGTTAGTTGTCACAAACTCAAGGATAAACTGTGATTTCCAAATCCCAGGGACTAAATTTTACTGAAAATCCAAAAAGCAAAACACCTTCCCCATTGCATGCATTATAGTTTAATATGATGTTTGAATTCAACCAATTATGGCTTATTTAACTAAGAGAATGCAATTGAGCAAACCAAAGATAAATATGATGTGTAAATCCACTTATTTATGTTTTCAGGTCCCAACACAATATGATCATTTCCAGCAGTCATATCATATGCATTCACTTGTAAATTTGTTCAGATTCTGTAGCTGAATTTGGACATTAAATCCTCAACTAGCTATGTATACAACTTAAGGGCACAAAATAATGTGTCATGTGTCATCTAAATGCTATACTTTTTGTGTCATGCAGCGTGAATGCATCTCTGTTCACGTTGGCCAGGCTGGAGTTCAGATTGGCAATGCATGCTGGGAACTCTTCTGCCTGGAGCATGGGATCCAGCCAGATGGCACCTTTGCTGAGAATAACAAATTCAATAATGATGACTCCTTTGCTACATTCTTCAGAGAGACAGGCACGGGAAAGCATGTGCCAAGGGCTGTCATGGTGGACTTGGAGCAAACAGTAGTTGGTGAGTCAATCATTAAGGAACATGCCTTGCATCAAATTCCATGACTTTCAATGGACCAATATTATTGGGTTTTCCCCCCTGTGCTTCAATGATGTAGCTTAGTTTGATTTAGGAAATGGGATTATGTGTAATATTAAGACATAGCGTGGTTTGTTTGTACGGAGCTCATTATATTGCATAATCCAAGCCACTGTTGATAAATTATGGTTTTTAGGCTAAGTGATGTGGGAACACAACCAATTGAGGCTTCTTCAGGTTAAATTATTGGGATATTGTCTTAGTGCAATGTGTGAACCCTGTCAAAGAATCAAGTACAACATGTAGAGTTATTTCTGAGTAGTTCATTTATTGTTATACACCTAGAATCTTGCCAGACTAAAGCAATTATCTGTAGTAACTATAGATATACTCCGTGAATTGCTTTCTCTCTTCTTGCCTACCAGGCTTTCTAAGCTCTGCTGTCTCTTTGCCTTCTGGAAAAGAGCCCTTCCTTCTTGCAACCTCTGATTACATTCCACCACATCCCAGTTCTTATCAATAGAAATACTAACTTACAGTCCAGATCCAGTATATATGGTCTTGTTATCATCTATAAAGCCCTAAATCTATAGGATGTAAAGGCACAGAACTACCACATCTTTCATGTTTCAGAAAGCCCTCAGTTTATGACCACAATGAAGCCTGCAATTTTCATTGTAAGCCATGAAAACCAAAAGTCAAAGAACCCACAAATTGCCAAGATGGTGGGCAGCACCCTAACTTAAAAGGGACAGGGCTTACAACTCAAAATTTTGCCTGCCATCTTGATAATGTTGACCCTACTTGTGGATGGTGCTGGCAGTGTTTGTGCTCTCACAAGGTTTGCAGCAATTCTTCCAAATAATTTTTGAAGCACACATAGTGTTATTATTCAGTTCTGTTAGTCAATATATATTTAACCTTGGAGTACATTGTTAAAAATATGTTATATTTTTGTATGTTGGACCTTGAGAATCTCATAGAAAATTCTCCTCTCGCTCTTATGCTCACAACCAAAAGACTGCTATATTGTATTCATCCACAGCTTACAGTCCCAGTCCTTGGAAAGTTAGTATTGCTGTTTATGTTGAAATATATTTCTGGCTCCTAGATATGAATTTTCCGAATGTATGCCTCTGATCTTCCAAGTCATTTTTTTTAGGACACCAAGTTAAAAAAAAAACTATCTCTTAAAATTTACAGATGAAGTGCGGGCTGGCACCTACCGCCAGCTTTTCCATCCAGAACAGTTGATCACTGGCAAAGAGGATGCGGCTAATAACTATGCCCGTGGTCACTATACCATTGGTAAAGACAGGATTGAGTTGGCACTGGATCGCATTCGAAAACTGGTAAGGGGGAAAGAATTGGAAAATGACCCAAGGAAAGTGTTTGATTTCCTTAGAAGATAGTCATCAGGAACCAATGGCATTTCTATTAGGGCAGGGGTCTTCAAACTTGGCTGGCTGAGGAATTCTGGGAGTTGAAGTCCACAAGTCATAAAAGGGCCAAGTTTGAAGACCCCTGTGTTAGGGTAACCAGATATGGCTGCAAAAATCCAGACAGCCATAATGGCAACAAGAGGTCCCTTTTTTGCCTTTTTTGTGCTCTTCAAAGATTGTCCAAAATTTCATAGCCCTGTCCAGATATGGTAACCTATACAAGATTTACTGACTTACACATATTTGATTCCAGTCTACCTCAAAGGATGGATGAAGTCTCTTTCCAGCTAGCAACATTTGCTAGATTGCCTGGTTTTCATCTCAGTCCTAGTAAACAGAATGCAGCTGAATTAAAGTGAGATTGTCAGACCTCTAGTTTGAAAGAGAGGACAGCTTCTCATTGTCATATCTGGCAAGCGAATAGAAACATACCTCCAGGATTTCCACTGACGTAGGCTTATTAAAATTAGTCAATATATAGTACACATCCAGTTCTTCCAGAGCACTGCTTTAGAATTCGTTTGGGGAATCCAACAATGTAAAAAAAAATATGGATGGAGAAAATAAGTATCTAAATTGTGATGTTCTTTTTAGGCTGACACCTGTTCAGGGCTGCAGGGATTCCTGATTTTCCACAGTTTTGGAGGAGGCACGGGCTCAGGTTTCACCTCTTTATTGATGGAACACTTGTCCATGGATTATGGCAAAAAGTCCAAACTGGAGTTTGCTATCTATCCAGCCCCTCAAGTGTCCACAGCAGTGGTGGAGCCCTACAATTCTATCCTGACCACCCACACCACCTTGGAACATTCCGACTGTGCCTTCATGGTGGACAACGAGGCCATCTATGACATCTGCCGTCGTAATCTGGACATTGAGCGGCCCACGTACACTAACTTGAACCGTCTCATCAGCCAGATTGTCTCCTCCATCACTGCCTCTCTGCGCTTCGATGGGGCCCTCAATGTGGACCTGACTGAATTCCAGACCAACCTGGTGCCGTACCCTCGCATCCACTTCCCCTTGGTGACCTACGCGCCCATCATCTCCTCTGAGAAGGCCTACCACGAGCAGCTCTCCGTGGCCGAGATCACCAGCTCCTGTTTTGAGACCAACAATCAGATGGTCAAATGTGATCCCCGTCATGGCAAGTACATGGCTTGCTGCATGCTTTACCGTGGAGATGTGGTGCCCAAAGATGTCAATGTCGCAATCGCTGCTATCAAGACCAAGAGAACAATCCAGTTTGTGGACTGGTGTCCAACTGGCTTCAAGGTGAGGAGCAATTAATAAAAGCTGCCAGGATTTCTTAGTTCCTAACTACTATAGATAACAGTAGCAATAGAACAAGAGCAGATAAGCACTAAGAACTAATGGCTCTAATTGATGGGCCAGAGCGTTTATTCATTTATTAAATTTATGAGCTGTCCATTTCACCATCAAGAGTGACTCTGGGCAGCCATCAGACTCCTTATAGATGCTTCACATCTAAGTTGAGACTGTTTTTCCATTCTTACCTCCCAGTGCAGCACACATATTTTTAATTCTAGAGATGTAGTGGATTCCAAAAGGAGATAGATAGGCATAGCTAATTTGGACCAATGACGGACTTCGATCTTAGTTCAAAAATCAGCAATGCACCCCTTTTGCCCTTTTCCTCCCATGTTTCAAAGAGACTGTTTTGTTTTGTTTTGCTTTTTTCTTCTTTCCCTTCCTACCAGGTTGGCATCAATTATCAGCCCCCTACTGTGACTCCTGGAGGAGATCTTGCCCAGGTAGAACGTGCTGTTTGCATGCTGAGCAACACCACCGCCATTGCTGAAGCCTGGGCACGGCTGAACCACAAATTTGACCTCATGTTTGCAAAGAGAGCATTTGTACATTGGTATGTTGGCGAAGGCATGGAAGAAGGAGAGTTTGTAGAAGCGCGAGAGGATTTGTCCGCACTGGAGAAAGATTATGAGGAAGTGGCAACTGATTCCTTTGATTCGGTGCTTGGCAGCGAGGAAATTTAACAGTTTGCTCCTCTCTTTGCACTAACTTGTCTCCGCTGTAATTTTCTTTAAAGAAGAAACATTTGTAGAGCCCTAAGAAGAACATTTGTTATGTGGGTGGCATGATTCATGCCTACAAAGATTTACTGGTCAGGGGTTCATCTTATGTGATATCAACCAGAACTGGCCAAATAAGAACTAAGTGAAAATTAACTAAGAAACCTTCCTGTTATAACAAGCTAGAGCAGTGGTGGTGAGCCTATGTCACGTGTGCCACAGGTGGCACTCAGAGCCCTCTCTGTGGGCACGCGCTGTCGCCCCAGTCCTAGGCCTTCAGCTGGGTTTTATAAAACCTTTTCGCTTTAGGCCTATGCCGCCGTGTGCAAAAAAAAAAAAGGTTCAACCAATCAATCAATTTCAACTTCTCGCGGGAAAAAAAAAGATTTCGCAGAGTTGGAATTGATTGAACTTTTTAGTCCCACCCAGTCTGCCATTACCACCGCAGCCACGCTCACTCAATGGGCCACGCCCACCCAATGGGCCACACTCACCCAATGGGCCATGCCCACCCGGCACCCGACAATACATAAGTGGGTTTTGGGTTGCAGTTTGGGCACTCGGTCTCTAAAAGATTCCCCATCATTGAGCTAGAGCAAGTCAGAATATTTTTTAGAAGTGTTTAACCATGATTATTTGAACTGTGTTTTGAGTTAGTTAATATACAAGTAGTCCTCAAGTAATGACCATAATGGAGCCTGCCCATTAACTCATGATGGCTGTAAAGTGATTCAGTCACAACCTTTTTTCCCATGGTCATTAAGCAAACACCAAGATTAAGTGAACCAATGGTTTGTTAGGCATGGATTTGCTAAAAACGTAAGTGAATACCAATTTTCAGCAAAACCTTCATTAAACATGGTCATCTGATCACAGGATGCTGCAAATGGCTGTAAATGAAGCCCAGTTGCCAAGCACTTGACATGTGGTCATATAAATGTGGAGGGTCCTTGACCATTGGAACTTTGAATCTGGGTCATAAATACCCCTTAAGAAAGACCATTGGAACTTCAAACAGTTGCTAAATGACTGGTTATAAATAGAGGACTATCTGGGTAATGCTAAGTCATGATGCATGTGGTCCCATATCATCTGAGGCCTCAAGCAAACACAATTTATTTCAATGCCTGACTCCAACTTGGGGCTCTTTCTAGTCAGTTTTTTCACTGCTTTGGGGAGCAAGAGCATCTGCTCTTGCTGACTACTAAGACCCAGCAACTGGATCTGACTGATGGGAAATAAAAATCCTTCCACAAAGTCCTAAATGAGTGATAGCTATTCAGTCATAGAGCATATAACGCAAAACCATTAACAATTTCATGAGGAGTATTCAAAGGCAATTAAGACATCGAGCCTTAATTCCTGTGATTGATTAATATGGGGGTGGGGTGGAGGTGGGGCGAGCGATTCATAACATGCTAGATCAACATGCCGGCTGAGGAATTCTGGGAGTTGAAGTCGACACACCTTAAAGTTGTTGAGGTTGAGAAATCCTGTACTAGATGTTGCTAAACTTCAACTCCCAGCAGCCCCAGTCCACAAGTCTAACGATAAGAGGAAATAATATACTGCTATATCAAAAACCTACTCAGCTAATAGCTATTGCAAAGCAATGGAGTATTTCCTTCATATTGCCTTTAGCACAGTACATATAGCAAAGCTTAGCCAAGAGAACATCTATACACATTAGCCAAACATAAGCAAATTTAGTTACGTAAGACCTGTTCAGAGTAAAGGCTGTGGGTTAAGAGTTGGGCAAACCTGACCTTCCTGGTGTTGCTTAATTACACTTTTCACTTCCCTCCACATGACACATGGTAACTAATGTTGCTTAGAATTGTACAAGTAGTCCTCAATTTCTAACAGTTCATTTAGTGACCGTTCAATGTTACAACGGCACTGAAAAAAGTGACTTATGACCGTTTTCATGACCATTGCAGCTTCCCCATGGTCACTTGATCAAAATTCAGATGTTTGGCCACTGGTTCATTTTTATGACAGTCGGAGTGTCCCAGGATCATGTGATCATCTTTTGCGATCTTCTGACAAGCAAAGTCAATGGGGAAGCCAGATCCATTTAACAACCATGTTACAAACTTAACAATTGCAGTGATTCATTTAACAACTGTGACAAGAAAGGTTATAACATAGGGAAAAACTCACTTAACAACTGTCTCACCTAGCAACAGAAATTTTGGGCTCAGTTGTGGTTGTAAGTCGAGGACCACCTGTAGTTCAGGGGCACCATAAAGTCACAGATTTTCTCCACCTTGATGCACAGCCTTTAATGGGTCTTACATAAGAAAGCCTCACGTTGGGCTGATCTTTACAGATCAATGTTTCTCAACCTTGGCCACTTTTAACATTTGTGGGCTTCAACTTCTAGAATTCTATATACCGTATATTCTGGTGTATAGGGCGACCCGGCGTATAAGACGACCCCCGACTTCGACACCGAGTCGCAAGACAATCGACGCCGAGTTGCATGCCTAGAAAGTCGTCTTATACGCCGGAAACTACGTTATTTCCGGCGTATAAGACGACCCCCGAGTTCGGTGCCTGTTTCAACGCTCTCAAAAGTCGTCTTATATGCCGGAATATACGGTACCTTAAAATGACCAAAGTTGAGAAACTCTGGTTCATCTGTCTAAATCAGACATGTCAAACTTGCGACGTCACATGACATCTCACAACGTATTGGGACGGTTTTGCCATTGCTGGCAATGGGGTAGGTGTGGCTTCCGGATGACACATCCAACCCACGGGCTGGGAGTTTGACACCCCTGGACTCACTACGTCTTGGGAAATAGAAACAAATACTAGAAATGCATGCCCGTGTTAGTCGTGGAATGAACAGAGCAAGATTTTATAATTCTTGATCATGCCTCTCCTTGGCTTCTCTACTAAACTAAAAAGTCCCTAGTCATTTCTTGAGTCCAGTAATCACTTTGGTTGTCTTCTTCTTCACTTTTTTCCAACTCTATTATTTTTCAAGTGCAGCAACCAGAGTTATATCTAACCAGGACTGTATCTTTTTCCCATTATTTTTCAAATGCAGCAACCAGGACTATATCCATAGGTAGTTTGACTTACAACCATTCCAAGTTACAATGGCATTAAGAAAAGTGACTTATGCCTAGTGTTGGGTCCTGAGCCTGCAAAAGCAGGCTCGGGACGTTGCATTGGTCCCGGGCATTCCAAAAGCTGCCCGGGACCAGACAGAGCGGCGCCAGCCTTGAGCGCATATGCAAGGCACGAAAATGCTCTGTTCCTATTGGCTGACATTGTCCGGGTTTCTGGCCATATAAAAAGGCCTGCGTGCCTTTTGCTTTTGCTTGGCTGTTGTAGAAGGTGAATAAAGCGTTTGTTCAGCATTGCCATGTGTCTTCATCATTCACACGCGAACGAAGTACACAACACCTCGTCTTCACACTTGTGACTGTTGCAGCTTCCCCATAGGCACACAATCAAAATGTGGACGCTTGACAACTGGCATGTATTTATCACAGTTGCATTGTCATGTGATCACAATTTGTAACCTTTCCAGCCAGCTTCCGACAAGCAAAGTCAATGGCGGATGCCAGATTTGCTTAACAACCACATGATCCACTTAATACCTGCAGTAATTTGCTTAAAACAACTGTAGCAAAAAAGATCGTAGAATGGGACAAAACTCACTTAACAACTACCTTGCTTAGCAATAATCATTTTGGGCTCAGTTGGATTTGTAAGTCGAAGACTACCTGTACTACATATGTCAGTATGCCACAGATTCGCATAAAAGCATTATAATGTTGATTCTTCTGTTTTCTGTCCTTTCCCCGTTGACCTGGCATGAAATTTGCCTTTTCATAGCTGCTGCATTCAAGCTGAGATATTACACTTTTTTAAAAGAAAGAAATAAAACCCTGGGGAAGGTGAAAACAATAGTAAAAGAAAATCAGGGGCATTAATTGTCCAAGGGACATCACCAGGGCCTTTCATTGCCATATGTTAGATAGGCCAGTGGTTCTCAACCTTTTTAATGCCGCGACCCCCAACCAGTCGTAAGTCGAGGACTACTCAACCGGTCGTAAGTTGAGGACTACTCAACTGGTGCAGCACCGTTTGCAGAATGGGACTTTTGGCGGGCTCAGCAGGGCAGAGACAGCCTGGACAATTCCTATTGGCTTTTGAAAGCCAATAGAATTAGACTCTATTCAAGAGAGTCTATTCTATTGGCTTTCAAAAGCCAATAGAATAAAAGGGAGTAGCACAGCTAAGGAAAAGGGGAAAAAAATGGCGGACTGCGTTGTTTGGCGACCCCCGTGAAATGGGGTCCCGACCCACAGGTTGAGAACCACTGAGTTAGGCAGATGCAAATCCTCTACGGTGGGCTATCTATACAATCTAACCCTATGCAAGTATAGCTGGGCCTTTTCCGGAACCCATTTTGATGACCTTTCCTCAGCTCTATTGGTGGGAAAATTTCATGGGACTCCTATTTGCAGAGACTTTGCCCCTATGGACCCAGAGTGGTAGAATTCATGTCCTCATACTGGTGTCCTTCTTCTTATGCTGCCCCAAGACATGGTCTGATTACCCTAATCATTTCCAAATACAAAAGCCATACAAATACATTTTATGTTTATTTTTTGAGGACTGCTAACCCCACACTCACATATCATGTAGCGAAATATCTTCACAGAGTTTGTTGTTGTTGTTAGTTGCGAAGTCGTGTCCGACCCATCGCAACCCCATGGACAACTTTCCTCCAGGCCTTCCTGTCCTCTACCATCTTCACAGAGTTACAAATGTGCAAAACCTTTATTTAGGCATTTCGCTTTTACCGTTCTATTATTTTCCTTCAATTTGCTGTAACAAATTGTTGTGTCAAGCTACCTCTTTCACTTTAAAGGCTGGTCAAAGATCATAAGAAAGATATCAGATCTAAATTTATCTAACCACTATTTCTCATGGCTGGGCAGATTAGACCCATCAATGGATAAT